ATCATGTTTAAATACTCATTATGTGCATCGTAAAAAGAACACTCTAAACGAACCAGTTCAGTGGTTGCAAATTAAATGGATGCAATATTCAACCGACACCCTAGCTATCTTGTATAAACACTCGTTTGATGGTGAGTTCAAAACGTTGGATATATCCAGAAGTCACACGAAAACAAGGCAGTGTGATCATCTTCCTACACTTCTACCACTTAACAACGAACCACTTCGTTTAAGCAGAGAAAAACTAAGGGACTTAAAGGCACTTTTACCGTACATAGCTAATACAAATCGAACATATTACAATAATTTCATTGAACAAATAACTGCAGATGACAATAAAATAGTGGAATACTTTCCAGATGAACCTCAAGAAGAGGAGAATGTATCAGAATAATAGAAGTAGTATTGCCGATATTTTTTGATAACAAAAATTATATTTTTTTTATTTTTGGATACAATTTTAGTTTCTTACTACTAGTTTTAATTTTCTTACATTGAATTACAATGAACTTTGTAACTCCATAATAAATTATTAAAATTATGCTGTTATTCTTATTGTTACTTTTTTTGTTGGGATGGCCAATGTCATACACAATGAAACAAACACGTCATACATTTATGCAATAAGGGCCAAAGTCATTTTTTTTGCTAAGACTTTTGAATTTAGAAAAAAACAAAAAACACTATCATATTCTGCTCAAAAATATTATACATTGAGTCAAATCTGGTACATAAATGTTGTTCGCCGGTTAAGCTGTAATTAAAAATATTTTTCACCAAAACTTCAACTGCGATTTTCTGAAATATGAACATTTTGATATTGGCCCTTTTAGCTCCAAGCCACAGAAATATTCTAATATAATTAATACTAAAATAAAAAAGTGTACATCCACACTCATAATTGTTAGTGCAAAAAGTGTATCTATTCTAGTCGAAAAACCTCATAAAAATTACTATACCGAAATCAAACAAAATGAAAGCAAGAAAAAACAATCATCTGGAAAGACAGGGATATTCGCTTCTCGTCTAGTAACCCATCAGGACATTTTTTGTTGAAGACATTCCTAGAAATAGGTCACGGAAAGGAAGAGAAATAACAATTAGGTTAAAAACCAACGTTAATTAGATTAGCTAAGGTTGACTACAGATACATGTTTCCATTATGTATAAATTTATTCAGACAATCATACGCTTTTGTATTATTACTAGTAGCCAATAGGTTATTTAATTGGTACGGAGGAAATATTTGCCGAGTTTACAAGTTGTTCAAAAGAGTTTCTGAATGTTGAAAATATTTGGAATACTTAAAAAATATATTAAAAATATGTGGTTAAGATCTCCTTGTTCTTGACATTTTCTTCTCCTAAGTCTGAATTGTAGTAGATTTTGATTTCTGCAAGATGAGCAGGATAACAAGTATGACTGAATCTTAATCTTATTAAGGTTGTTATATATTTACGGGTGGTATTAAATTTCTTAAACCATCTGGAATTTGGGATACGTGCGGATAAGAGGTTCTTGCGGATTTAGCAATGGAATCAACATCCTCATTATATTTTATACGAACATGAGCTCTAACCCAAATAAAATCATTAGTTTTTTTAATTATAAGGTAGAAAAGCATGTTCTTAATTTGGTAAATGAAAAGATTATAATTATAATTGGAGTTAGTTTCGGAAGAGATAATAAAACTGTCAATTAAAACTGAGAGATAATATTAAGGTAGCATTATTGTTTAAACGGTCGAAATAAATCAAGGCTTTAAGAATTATTGGTAATACTTTAGCACTAAAAATTAAGCAATTCAAAGATAGTTTGAACATGTTTTCTGTCGTCTCCTGTAGTCCAGGAAAGGACGTTTTTCTGCTCAGAATTCTTTTTATATGCATGGATTTGCTTGAAATTTTGAAAGCTGGTAGAAAATAGCTCAAAGTTCAAAATCTATGCTATGCCAATAGGTGTTTTTCTCTGGCGTGAAAAAATTTTGTTAAAAAAAATATGGTAGTCGCTAGAATAGTGAATTTTAAGACAAAAATATTGTTTTTCCGAAAAGTCAATATTTTTGAAGTTATTCGTGACTGAAAGTTTACAAATTACACGTCAAAAAAGCATGTTTTGAACGGTTTTTCGCGAATATATCTAAAAATTTAGATTTTATTGGGAAAACTGTTGGGATATAAAATTAAGCTTAAATTTATACGTGCAATGGAGGTATTGGAGTAGACTTCCTTGCTCTCATACAGAAACGTAGAACAGTACGTTATAAGATATTTATTTTATTTTAAATGTGTTTACTTGCTGATCCATAAGTATATATCCATAGTCCAGAATAGATCTGATGTAAGATTTGTAAAAAGCCAAATCTGTTGCAACGTCGTTTCCCATTAAGTTTTGAAAATGGATTTTAAAAAATTGAGACCTTTATTGCTTTTGTCAAGCATATACTCAATATGTAATTTTCATGTTAACTTTTAATCTAAAAACATATTATCTAGAATTTTTGATTTATTGACCTGCATAAATTTAAAGCTTGGTCATTTAATAAAATAGTATTGTGTTAAGAATATTATAATATGTTCTTTACGACATATATAAAGATGTAAAGAAATACACATATTAGAATTATTAGTGGATAAATTAAAACCATTTTCACAAAACCAGTTTAAGAAATGGTCATGTATTTTCTTAAGAATGTAATTGACGGTTCATATTTTATCCTTTCTGTATAGACGAGGGAGTCATTAGCATATTGGATTGTTTTATAAGTAATATTTGGTATGTTAAGACTATAAAAATCAGCAGTAAGTAAATAGATTAAAAAGAAAAGTGGTCCCCACTATTATAACGTGGTACAAGAAATTCATTTTTATGATTTCTAAAGTATAGGCATCGTACCACTTAATGATGACTACCTATATGATATAGACTTTATTTAGAAGATCTTAGAAGATTTCTCTTTTGTTGCTTATTATAAAGCCTATTTATTTTTTAGTCTTCTTATATAGGATTTGCCAAGCTCATCTTCTCTGTCTTTTTTTTTGTTGAAGAAGCTGTTCATTTGGAATAAGTTATTCTGGAAGAAAACCGATTGAGTTTTTTCTCTTAATTTGCGTTGGTCTGACCCAAAGAGGGGATACGTTAAAAGTTTGAAACTAAACTACGACAAAGAAATAAGTAAGAGTCATGTAAAGAAGGAGACGACTTTCGTGAAAAATACTGGAATGCTAAAAGATGATATCCTTGAAGTGTGATAAACAACAACGTTCAATATGCAAAACCTCTTTAAATTAATATATAATTCAAGTAACAAAACATGGCAATCACAGCTTTCGATATTACGAGACAAAACGACAACAGACGGGAAACGCTAAATAATCATACGCCGAAGTACTGTAATCAGAATTGTAAAAGAGGAAAAGTATAGCTAAAATGGATACATGACTTCAAACCATCCTCAAACAACATAGTATATACAAATAGTTACGAATACAGAAGAAAGGTAAATACAATCCTTCTATTTGGATTAAGTTGTGCCGATAACTTTAACTTTGACATTACTTCAAATGAAATAACTAAAGCAAAAACGGTGGGCTTAAAATGAACTAGAAGAAAAATAAACCACAACAATTACACAACTGTGTCATCTGTTTTAAAGTAAATATATGATCCTGTATACTCCCACCACTTCTAAATCCACTTTGTGCTTCATCTAATATATGTTCTGTCATTATTTTTAACCGTTTGTGTATTATTTTTTACACATCATCGTAAATCCTCTGCAGTTATTACATTCTCCTTATCGTTATCTCCTTTTTTGTATATGGCTACTATTAGTGAGACTTTCCAATCCTCCGGTATATCTTCATTTCTCCATATTTTATTCATTTTTAGTAATATTTTGTTCTCCAGTTTTACCCATGTTTTTTTATAATTTCTGTTATTATTCTATCCACTCCAGGAGCTTCTCCATACTTAAACGTTTTTATTACTTCTTTTAGTTCTTCCTCGTTTATTGAGTTTTCTGTATAATCTTCACATATATTATTTTCTTTTTCGTTGATGTCGTCTTCATTTATATCCATTAGCAGTTCTTTGAAGTTTTGTTTCCATCTTTTAACTAGTATCTTTTGTTTCTGTTAATAATTCACCAGTTTTATTTTTAATGCTGTATATTTAATTTTTTTGTGTTCTTATCGTCTTTAGGGTTCTGTAGAATAGCTTTTGGTTATTTTTGCTATCTTCTTCCAGTTTCTCTCCGAACTTTTCCCAATTGTCTTTTTTGCTGCTATTATCAATATTTTTACCTTCTTCCTTTCAGTTTAATATTTATTGTACTTACTTCTTATTTGTTTTGTCTTTCCGATATTGTTTCGATGTATTTTTGCTTTTTTATTTAGATCATTATTGTCATTTTAAAATAAAAGTACGAAAATCTAATCATTACTTGACACAGATTTTGAGTAAGCAGAACTTGAACTAAGTTTGAAATAAAAATACTCATAGTATTCATAGTATTTGTAGAGGTATCGGAAAAATAAATAACCAGTAATAAATTTAAAGTAAGAGTTAATAAAGCCATAGTTTTAAATAGGCTAGGCAACAGAAGATATCTTGTTGTGACAAAGCGTTAAATCTAAGTTGGAAAAAAGCCATTGCCCAACATTGATTTGATCGATGTTTACATTACCTTTACTAATTATAGATGAGATTAGTAGGAAGTTGTCAAGTTACATTTTTTAGTGTCGACATATTTTGTTGTGTAAAGAAAAAATTGGTGCATATATAACTCTTTCATAAATTTTATGGTTCAAAAATAAATCAAATATCTCTAGCAATTAATTATTTAGGTAAAGATATTTAGGTATAATGGAAAACCTTCCGTAGTAGTGCAATTTTCTAATGTCTAAATGTAAACAAATATCACATAAACACTACTTTCACTCAGTTCTTCTATTAGTTAATATCAAATATACGTAAAAATGATTTAAAATATGAATTACCTTAAAGCCACTTTAAAATCACAGCGATGGTAGTAATAGACATAGCTTGCCCGAGATCATGTTCATGTTGAAAGCTAATCTACACTTCAGGCACAAAAAAATCTGCAACAAATTAAAAAATAGGTTTTATAATAGTTATATCTGCAGTTTTAAAACTAATTTGATTTCTTTGTATTGTTTTGAAATATACGAAATGTAACTACTTGAAAAGGAATAATCATTTTTGACAGTTTCGTTACAATAATTTAAAATGTTCGTATAAATCCTGTTTACTACTTTCAGTAGGCGATTATGTCATGACTAAAACGTAGACATTTTAATTTTTTGTAGTGGAAAATTAATTGAATTATTTTTCTTTTAGAAAAAGAAGAATAACCTTTTTACTTATACGTCAAACATGATCATAAGCATTGCCTATGGTCAAATTGATAAGTGTACAGTAATAGTAAAACAATAATTATTGCACAGAGGATTTTTAATAGCGTCGTACAAAGTAGTTGCTTCAAAGAAAACTGCATCTTTGGCAAGTTACTAAAAGAAAAAAATACAATATTGCAATCATTCGGTAGTTTTTTACTTATCCAAACCTATGTAACTAAAACCTTCTTCTTGCAGTACCGTTTCCTATAGGAGGTTGGCTACCATCACAGCAATCTTTACTTTGTTGACTGCAGCTCTGAACAACTGTATTGAACTGCACCCATACCACTCCCTTAAATTTCGCAACCAGGAAATCCTCCTACGTCCCACATTTCTCTTTCCCGAGATTTTTCCTTGGATTATGAGTTTAAGCAGAGAGTACTTTTCTCCTCTCATTATGTGGCCCAGATATTCCAGTTTTTTCGTTTGTAAGTATGGTTTTTACGACTTCGCATTCCTTCCCTATATTTAGCAGAACATCTTGATTTGTTACTCTTTCTGTCCATGGTATTTTTCTCATTTTCCTATAACACCACATCTCGAATGCCTCAATGTTTTTGATGTTTATCTTTTTCAGTGTCCAGGCTTCCAAGCTGTACAGCAAAATGGAGAAAACGTAGCAGCTTACCATTCTCGTTCTTAAGTTTATATTTATGTCCCGGCTGCATAGAAACTTTTTCATTTTGACAAACGATTGTCTCGCTATCTCTATTCGCCTCTTGATTTCTCTTGTCTGGTCATTAGTATCAGTGAAGCAAACCCCTAAATATTTGTAGGACGTAACTCTTTCAACTAGCTGATTATATATGGTTAAATTCACATTGGTGTATAGCCTCTTTGTTACAATCATGAATTTAGTCTTTTTGATGTTCAGTTTTAGACCATACTTATTGGTATGGGTGTTTATGTTTTCCATCAAAAACTGGAAATTTTCTAGTTTATCTGTTACTATTGGCGTGTCATCAGCGTATCGTATATTGTTAATTAACTCTCCGCTAATGTTCATACCAATGTTTTGCTCTAGGAGCGCTTCCTGACATATTGTTTCGCTATATATATATATATATATATATATATATATATATATATATATATATATATATATATATATATATATATTGAATAATAGTGGAAAAATCACACAACCCTGACGCACACCTCGACGAATCTCAATTTCTTCGGTTAACTCATTATCAACTTTAATTTTTGCTGTTTGTCCCCAGTACAACCTGGATATGATGTTAATGTCGCGACTGTCGATGTTTTTGCTTCTTAGGATTTCATACAGCTTTTGGTGTCTGACTTTATCGAAGGCCTTCTCAAAATCTATGAAACCTACGTAGAGGTCTTGGTTTACATCCAAACATCTTTGCATTAACACACTCAGACCAAACAAAGCTTCCCGTGTTCCCAGTCGACCTCTGAATCCAAACTGTGGGGCGCTTATGTCCTCATCTAATTTATTAAATATTCTTTTGTGAATTATTTTTAAAAATACTTTTAGTGTGTGGCTCATCAATGCTATAGTTCTGTGGTCTGAACACTCTCTGGCGTTATTCGTCTTCGGGATTGTGAAAAAAGTAGAGGAGAGCCATTTCTTTGGTATGATGCCTGTTCTATAAATTGTGTTAAAGAGGTTCACCATTATTTCAAGTGCGTCGTCGTCTATAAGTTTCAACAATTCTACAGAAATTTCATCTGGTCCTGCAGCTTTGCCCCCTTTTGTGTTCCTTATAGCATATTCTACCTCGCTTTTTAGGATCTCAAGCCCTGTTGTGTCTTCTGTAGGTTCTGCCATTGCTATTTCTGGTCTTTCGTCTGCAAAAAGTTCTCCAATGTATTATGTCCATCTTGCGAGTTTTTCATTTGAATCTGTAATTATTTTACCTTTTTTGTCCTTTACGATGGATGCTTGTTTTACTTTTTTACCTGTTATTTCCTTGATCTTTTTATGCATGTTAAAGCTATCGTACTTTCTATCATATTCTTCTAGTTCTTTGCAGTTATCCAGAACCCAGTTCTCTTTGGCTTCTCTAATGTTTATCTTAATTTCACGGTTTACTTCTTTGTATTTTGTCTTGTTGGTTTTATTTCTTCGCCTTTCCTCTATGAGATGCAAAATTTCGTTTGTCATCCATCCTTTTTTCTTGATTTTGCTTGGAACTAAAGAGCCTTCACCAGCTGTCATAAGGGCCTTTTCTATCTCCATCCATTTATTTTCAAAATTCCTGTGTTCCTATTTTTTGCAGCGATGTTTCTCTTAAGATTGTTGTTTACCTGTCCTCTTGTCCCCCCAATCCCGGAGAACCGATTGTGGAACTTTTTACTCCGGAATATTTCGTTTTGAACATTGCCATTGATGGTTTTTTACAAGGGAATCAATCCATTTGGATATTTAATGCAGTGGTTTCCCGTTGCCTTCTGCATGCTGATGCCGTTGACTACTGTCTTGGTTCCTCCGCATTCGATACCGATTTCTCAGTCTCAGGACAACAGAGTGCCCCGCCAGTTACCAGCTCATCCGCCCGAAGCCGTTGGCCGGTAGATGGGGGATTACTTATAGGGTGTAGTAGAAGGAAATATAGTTACCCGTCGGCTTTCGGAAACCTAATCGCCATTCAGGGTCAGAAGAAACAAGAGTTGGCCAAGAGAGGCTGATAGGAAAGATTAAAAACATTTTACTTGAGACAAGTTAAAAAAGAGTAAAATGTGAAGGCCCTTATGATGCGCCAGGTGCGCTTCATAAGCGTAAGAGTATTGATACACTTTGTGTTCCCGCTTCTACCTCGGGGAGTTGACTGCAGACTGTATGGCTCGTCCAGCATGCCATAGAATGGAGGATGGGGTACACGACATTTTTACAATGTAGATACTCCAACTCCATGGTCTGACACACAACTACAACCTAATCAATTTTAATATGCATTTACTGTCCCTTTTAAGAATATTATAATCATTCGCTAAACAGTTTTGTATTATTTAGCTACTGCTGATATTTATGTCTCAGTCAAGAAAGAAACAAAGTTGAACAAATCTCATACAGCTATTTGAAAGTTCTAAAAGGTATATGAGTGATATCTGATGAAAAATCTTTAAAGATGTAGAGCTGATTTTGTTTTGTGTTTTCTAAATAATTTTAAAAGTAAAAAGTATAGTTTTTTGGCTATAAAAAGTTTCTTAATAATTATATAGAAATAGGTTTTAAATAAAAGTTGTAGATAATAAAAAAAGTTCTTTATTTTGAGGGTTTCTAAAATAAAATACATAAACAATTGACCAAGACAATTAAAACAGATTAATAACTTTGTTTTTTGCATAAGTACATGTACTAACTACTCAAAATTGTGGCAGTTAATAAGCTATCAAAGTATGCCAAATTTTAAATATTTAGATTGATCAAATAGTTTGTAAGTTATTTAATTTGTTTATCGCGGAGAGCGATTATTTAAACAACTATGATTGCCCAGACCTTTACTCTAGAATAGATGTATTTTATAAATCGCAATTCATTATATAAGTCTTCATTTATAAGGTTTATCAAAAAAACATTTTATTAAATTTTTTATAAAAAACAGTTTGAAAAAGAGCTGACTTATTAACTTCTAAAAATTTACAATAAGTTTCATATTTTTTTATGTCACACGGTTACAAGTAGGCCCAATTAAAATCTGGTAAAAAAGTACGCTATCTAAAAAAAACCAAACTTTCAAGCTGAGATACTGTAGCAACTTGTATCGTATTGTCGTGAAATACCGCCACCGAAAAGTGGAGGGAAGAACTGTCCGAACTCCGCTTTGTTAGATTCGAACTTCAAATTGAAGAGCGCTGGCAAATATGCAATATCTTGGCTTCTATGGCACATCAAAGTTTGATTTTTTAAACTAAACAAGATAACAACAATTGTGCTATTTTCAAGTCTTGGAAAATCCCGGAAAAATAAATTGATTAAATTTTTCGTGTTGGCAATATTTTACGTGTACCATCATTTTCACGGGTTATCACTTTTTACTACTTGGTAATGGTATATACCATCTATAAAATAGATCATAAAATTTAGATCCTCATTTATAATTTGTTGAATACTCAGCTCTTAATGTCAATAAACAATAAAAACATGGTTTCCTATTGGTCATAAAATGTTCTATTTTTTTAGGGAAAAGTGTGCTTTTGACCAGCTTTTCATTGTGCCTAGATACAAGTTTATGACATAAAAAATTTCAAAGTTATCATTAATGTTTATCAGCTAAAAAGTCAGCCCTTTTTAAAACTGTTTTTAATAACAAATTTAATAAATTGTTGCAGTTTATTTTAATATATCCTAAAAATAAACCCTTACATAATTGATATTGATTTACAAAATACCTCTACAATGTAACTGTCAGGTAAAGAACAGTTGTTTAAACAATTGCTCTCCAGGATAAACAAATTCAATCGCTTAATTATTTTTTCTACAATAGTTTATTATTCTCACTAATATATCTTACTAAATTAAAGTCCATGCGATCAGCACGACATTCCATCCTCCTGCTATTTCGTATTCGCTGCGCCTGTCTGTATTTCAGATTCAAAATATTCAAACCCAACTACCCTTAAGGCCATTTCGTTCTTGCCTTCTCAAATAAAAGAGCGTAAGTCAAACCTTTTTTTAGCTTCTCAAATACCAACTACCCTTAACGCCACTTCGTTCTTGCCTTCTCAAATAGAAGCACGTAAGTCAAACCTTTTTTTAGCTTATCAAATAGAAGCTTTATCTTACCTTATCACGCTTCTTAA